GTAAACCGACAATAAACAGCTTATTTGTTTCCCGCTCACTTAGTCCATCTCAACGTGATCGCTAATACGTTTTTGCTACTTAACACTTCTCTTTTAGCTAGTTCATAGAACATTTTTAAATCCCATCGATTAAAGGTATGCTGGCAGCTTATCCGTTGCCGTGGATGCCCTTGGCATCCAGCCGCAGAATTTAACTCCAAAGATTTCACTTTCACTTTTCCCTCGCTCTAAGCCGTCAAGTATTATTGATTGGTGAAATAACCTTGATAGACTGGCCTGTGTAGACTACCATTAGCTACGGCTGGCCAGGAGAAATTTTGTCACTGCTTCACGAAAATAGGTATAATAAGGACTGTTGTTGAGAACAAAAACGTTTCTGTGAACTTTTATTTTTTATAGGGCTCAGTAGCAAAGAAGCCTTACAATCCTATCCTAGGAGAGGTGTTTCGTTGTTTCTGGGTTTTGCCTGAGTGTGAAACGTCAAGAACAGAGGTGAGTTAGTGACATAACTTATCTGATCAAATGAGTCGTTATGGATTTGACTGAAATGTCAGCTATTAAAACAACATGTGCTTCGTCACAATAAATGTCCTATGACTACACAGACCACCCAACAGGAAAATGACTGAATTTAAATGAAAACAGGAAGTGAACAGTTTTCACCAAATGAGGAAGTAGGGTTGGCTTTCTACGTGTAGTTATCAGAATATCTCCGTGTTATTCATCGTTCATACACCCCATCCCCTACTGCTCCAAATATGAAAACTAAAGAAAGGAAAATGCTTAGCTTTACCACCATTCTCTGTTACCATTATATTGAAATACACATAATGTAGATGCCTTGGTGCTACTCGTTGTAGAGATTCCAATAGGACATTGATTTAAAACCAAAAAAAACCGAAGAAAACTCAAGAACTGTTGCATGCCTGGTACGTCATTAGGGTGTTGCAAAAACCTATCGGAGTCTGCTGAATGAAAAATCAAAATGATTGTAGGTTTAAGTCGAGTGGACGACTCAGTTTTTAGTGTCTCCTACTCAAACTGATGTGAACGAGGAAAAAAAAAATGCAAAGATGGAGTATGATTGTTTTTCTTTGGGTCAAAAAAGATTTACGACTGAGTTAATAATATAAAAAAATGTACCAAGGTAGATATAAAACGACAGACGTCTTTCTTGAAATACTTTGTAGCTTAACATTTTTTTATGTTTTCGTGATTTGTAGAAATGTCCAGTTGATGGACCACTGCCGTGGGCATCAGAAGATGACGTCACTTTCATTGCCGAGCAAGTATCCCATCATCCTCCAAGTGAGTATTGATTTCTTGAAGGCTTGTCAGGTGCTTGACATGTAATTCTTGAAGTATTATTATAATGTATGTTATTTGTTCCTAGTTTCTGCGTTTTATGCAGAGAATTGCAGTAAACAGATATCGTTCAATGCACACATCTGGACCAAGTCAAAGTTTCTAGGACTGTCAGTTGGAGTAGAAAATATTGGACAAGGTGACACCTTATTTTCTAAGGCTTTAACATCTTTTTCGTTTGAAACACCTCAGGTCAAAGCTTTTCCTCCATACTGATCCTATTTATTCTTGTTACAGGTTGTGTGTCAGTTTTACCATATAACGAGGACTATGTATTAACATTCCCTAATGGCTATGGCAGGTAGAAGTTTTCAGTGTTGTGGTATTTGCTCTTAACTCGATTTCACTAGACAAGACTACTTTTTTCAATTGCTTCACACGTGAAATATTGACTCCTGGAGTGAATTTGGATCTTTCGTGTTACAGATCAATTCTCACAGTTCCTTGGGTGGAGATTGGAGGAAAAACCAACATAACTTGTTCTAAAACTGGATATCAAGCTGCAGTACAGTTCCATTGTCGGGTTTGTTTACTGCTCTGCTCAGAGGAAGCTTTTTTTCACCTATATCTGTCTGTGCTCTTTATGATTATAATTGTATTTTTTTATATTTCAGCCTTTTTATGGTGGTAAAAAGCATCGTATAACTTGTGAAGTAACGTAAGTGTAAAACGCACTTTGCTGGGATTGTTGCTGTTTCCTATTTACAAACGATTTTGTCCTTGACCGTCAATTAGTCTTTTTTGTCTGCTTTAGTTCTCCAGAAGATAAGAAAACCTTTCTTACCATCACAGGGGAATGGAATGGACAAATGTTTGCCAAATATTCCGATCGAGAGGTAACCAGGCGATAAATTAGTTAGTCAAGTGTTTGCCTGTAAGACAGCTGTGAGACAGCAGCGTCTTCACTGATCATACTTAAAAATCTGCTGTAAACTAACAAAACTCCACCCGCCGCCGTTGTAACACCAAGCTAGTTTTTAAGTGAGAGAAGGACGTTTTTTTCTTCTCATCTGTAACTCCGGTTTTTCCTAGGAACCCGAATTATTTGTTGATACATTGAGCATGCCAACAGTCATGAAAACTGTAAAGAAAATTCATAAACAAGAAGGAAACGAATCTAGGAGGTAAGCATCCCACATCTTGTTGATGCTAGTTTTGTTTGTAGGTTGTATTTGTTTGAAGAGAAGGAGTAAGTATTCCCTTTGTTTGATTGGCGAATCTTTCTCCACTCAGATTATGGAAAGATGTTACAATAAGTTTAAAGGATGACGATGTGGAAAATGCAACTGAAGCGAAACACAAGGTACGTAGATATGTTCTTTGTTATTAAAACCGCTATAACTTCTCTGAAATAATTTCGTTTTAATGCGGCTGACTCATGGCAAGCTCTTGGTGTGCCTGTGTATGAACTTTATGTAGTCTCGCGTGCTCCTGTGCATATCCTATTGATTGATCTCTCATTAGTATAAATGCTGAAGGTCTACCTAATTTTTTTTTCTTACTTATTTTCTTGTTGTCTCAGTGTTTATTTACATTGTTTATTTATATTTTGTTAGTCGACTGATTTAAATTTGAACCTTTGGCTCGGGCGTCTTGGCGACCACTCCCTACCTTTCGATGTTATTGAAATATATTTATAAGTTATCAGTAAATAGTGGATTATGTCCGATCCTTTTTCTACTTGTTCTAGTTAGTGATATGTTAAGCAATTAACTGGAATATAACGTACTAGTTTCTGCCATTTTTCATTTTTAGTTAGAAGAACGACAGCGAGCAGAGGCGAGAGAAAGAAAAGAAAAAGGACTAACTTGGCAAACAAAGGTAAGTTGTTTTTTGACTGTGAGGGTGGGGAGGTAAATCTTATAAGGAGAGTTCACAGAAGAGGGATGCTTGATTCTACTTATATTCCTGCTGTTAAAGGTTAAACATTTGTCTCTTTGGTTTTGATTGGCAGTTGTTCCATGAAGTGGGAGAAAACTGGGTGTACCACAAACCATTAATAACAAGGCTTGCCAATCCGAGTCCTTCTAAAAACAAATGAGTCTCCGCTGGATACTGAAGCTGTGGCTTGATGCTTGTTGCCGTGGATACATATTCATTCACCCAACTCACCCTAAGTCGATGCATAAGATTCACGGTCCTAAATACAGGTTTCTAAAATAGAACCCAGTGAAGTGAAGCAAATAATTTAAAATTTGTGTTGAATTGCTGACTTCTTAGCTGCTCAATGAATAGAACACTTCAGGGTTGTTTTTTCTCTTTTGGGAATAAATGTCTGGCACAAGCTATTTTGAAACGCTTTTTTTTTTTTATGGAAATTAGAACAAAGTAATTATATCCGTACAATTTTAAAAACCGGATACTGTTCCATAAAAACCACTATGTTGGCTTTAAGAAGTATTTTTAGCACTCTTTCGGCTGTGAAGGAAAAGAAAAGACGCTAAAACTAAATTTCGAGCAAGATAGCAAGACAATATTTTAAGTTTACTTCTTTGTGTCTTAATTTACTGTTTATCCACTCGAGGAGAAAATACGAGAAAGACTTTGATCCAAATATAGGTACTTAAGTATGTGTAATTATCAAAATCAATTGCAACTCGTTACCTTAGGTTTTAAAAGAAATTCAACACATCTTTGGGTGTCGTTTACAAAATGTCTATTTAATTTACTCAGCCGAAGTATCCATTTATATTACAAGGGGTTGAGATCATATTTCAAGGAAGACGTCAGTACACTTGTAGAAGGAAATTCTTGTCAAAGGAATTTAAAATAAGTTTTAGAAAAGATAACGAGAAGTGCTTTTGTACTGTTATTGTTAAAGGAAATAAATTTAAAAAGCTTTTTACAGTTTCCTCCACTGTTTCTTTCGTTAACACAGTTGGGTCGTGTTTTTAGCAATTATTACTTGAGTCCTACTTGTTAACACAGATTTAGCTCCTTGAAACGTTCAGAATAATATTTGACATTTTCAGAAAGCTACCATTGGGAAGATTTTCACCGTTAAAACTTACAAATAATCTTGATTTGTGTTCTGCTGAGAACTTTGTGTAATTTTCAAAATTTTCGAAATTAGAGAGCCAAATGGTGGCCAAAATATCGAAAGAGTTATAACGGAGTGATTCTGCCCTTTTGTAATTTATTTTATAAAATAATTCAAATAGTACGCGCGCTCTGATTGGCCATAAAACCATTTTACATGAGCGTATGTAAACACGGTTTTCGTTCCTCTTGCATTAGTTATTTTATAAAAGAAATGTAAAATGGTTTCCGTGTTTACATAGCCTGATGTAAACACTTGGGAGGTTGATAAGATAAGATACAGCTCGATAAGCTGGAAACCACTCCGCTTCGCGTCGTGGTTTCCTACGCTTATCTCGTGTTCTCCCAACCTCCCGCGTGTTTACATCAGGCTGTGTAAACACGGAAACCATTTTACATTTCTTCATTTGGTAATGTTTGTTTTTTTAAACCTTGCTTTTTCGTAAAGTAGCATTTGATGTATAGTTTGATATGTCCATTTTTTTTATTGTGCCAATCTCACCTGCCCTCGAGGGTGTTGCATTAGTGTAAGAGAGTCCCACATTTTGTATGTACAAGAGAGCTTCTTTATTTTGGGTATTCATTGTGTTGTTAAAATGGGTTTTACCATCCTGGCTTGTTTTGTTGCGACACTTTCCTTGGTTTTCTGTGACCAAAATTTTGACAAAGCTGGGCAGACTATACAGGCTGTAAGAGACATTCAGCAGCCATTCATTGTTGAGTTTCCTGATAACCACAAGCAACAAAAGAGAAGAGACGATTCACAGAATCAGCCCAACAACCTGAAAATTGCCGCTTTCAACGTCCAAACATTTGGTAAGAAGAAAATGGAGACACCAGGAATACCTGAACTTCTTGTTAAGGTTTGTGTAGCTGAAGCAAATGATATTAGGTTTGTCTTTTTCGTATTTCATTGCTACAGCAGCCGGTTAAATGTTAGTTTGTAGTTTTGTTGGCCCAAAATAAAATTTCGGGCAGCGAGGGACATTATAATGTCTTATGAGCTACTGTTGCTGTTTACAGTTGGCCTGGGGGTTGTACTTGTCGTTTTTGTAAAAGTGGCCATGGCTTAAAGCAAGATTTTCTAGCGACGAAAACAGTTTTATAATCCCAGTTGAGCTATAGATAATTGTCTTTTTTAAAGGTATAGTCTTGAGAAATGTTTCGATGTAAGTTAATTACTGTTACCGGAAAAGAAAGGTGTAGCTGGAATTTTTGCAGATTATTCTTACAGCTGTTCAGTTCACACGGACTATTCGATTTCAAAACGATGAACTGAATGAACCTTCACCTCTTCCTTCAGAATAGTCTCTTCTTTGAGTGGTCACTGTACGTTGTTGCCAAGGTAGAACTCATTACTAATAGTTCTTACCATCAGTCGGCAGGTGATATAGTGGAGATAGCTTTAAGTGCGGCGAACGCATAGACTCGCTGAACACACTCACCCATCCCCCCCCCCCCCCTCTTCCCCCTCCGACTTTCACTGATCAGGTGATTGCAATCTTAACGGTGGTTACTTAAAATTTACTGGTACTTTACCTTCTGTATTTCGTTTTGGGGAGTACAATAAGTCATACCATATTTATGTTTTTTTTTAGTTTTGCGTCATTTTGTTTTCTCCATGATGCTTGCAGATTGTTCTCCGCTTTGATGTCATTCTTATCCAGGAGATCAGAGATGCCTCTGGTAAAGCGATTCTTAAGTTGCTTTCACTAATAAACAAGTACGTGTTGAGAGTTTCTTGATATCGTTTCAGTTTTCGTTATGTTGTAAGAAGAACTCAGTTATATGTAATTCTTATTGTCATTATAAAAATTACTAGTACTTTTTTATCATTAACTGTTTATATTTTTGCATTCCACAGAAATTCCTCTAAAGGGATTTACGATATCACCATCAGTCCGCGACTTGGAAGATCTTCAAGCAAAGAACAATACGCGTTCCTGTTCAGGTCAGTCCAACGACAATTTACTTATTCAGCTACTTTGCATTCTTTAACCGGTTTACTCTGAGGGGGTTCTTTCACTGGTACAGCTATGAGCTGCTGTCAGGATTTTAATGAAATATGTACGTTAGCCTGTCTTAACCCAGAATCACTTCCTTTTTTCTTTTTTAAGCATTACTGACGGAACAGACTTATCCCTGTTCGCTTCCCTTAACATGACACGAGAGACGAAATTCGTCAAATAAGTGTATAACAAGGCCGAAGACGACTGATAGGACACAGTTAAACCCCTCTCGGTATGGGAAAACCTTCTGCACTCAACCCCCATAATACTAATATTCACTGGTCACATTAAACAGCACAAGAGGGCCTACAGTTCCATCAGTGTACTTCAATGTAGATGTGGCCTTATTCTCTACAGGAAAGACGTTTTATCCGTTAAACATAGCTATACTTACGATGATGGCCAAGAAGATCTTCAGAGCGATACTTTTGAAAGGGAACCATATATCGTTCACTTTTACTCTTCAGTGACCAGTAAGTATGACGTTAAACCTCGAGGGGATTCAAGCCCAAAGAAGAGTGTTTTGGAGGGTTGATAGGGTTGGCATCGATCGTCTGGGATTATGATAGGAAGTTTCTTGAGTGTAACTTACAAGATATCACGCTTTGACAGTCGAAATTTTGATTGGTTCGATTCTTTATTCCAGAACAAGGGTATGACATATCATATCAGAGCATAATTCGATAAGGCTTTTTAGACTAATCACCTCTACCGCACTATATTAGTTTCCTAGAGGCTAACTTGAATGTTTACCCAGTAAAGGTCATGTTATACTTGTTTTTATTCTTTACTTTTAATTACAGATGTCACAGATTTTGTGCTTGTTGCTATCCACACGTCTCCGTCGAAAGCTAACCAAGAAATAGACGAGCTTGCTGTTGTGTATGACGACGTTATCAGGAAACTTGGCATAACAGATGTGATAATCCTTGGTGACTTAAATGCGGCCTGCAGCTACATGAGTGATAGCAAATGGAAAACCAACCGATTGGCTAACGACAGGCGATTTCATTGGCTTATTTCTGATTGCGTAGATACCACTGTAACTGGAGGACTCTGTGCCTATGATCGGTCAGTTGGAGTTGAG